ATTATTTATATTAATTTATAGTTAAAATTACAACAACAGATAAAATTTCATCCAAATATTATACAATTTTATGGAATTACAAGTATAAAAATTGGTAAAAAAAATTTATTTAAAATTGATTTTATTATTGATTTTATTTCTTTTAATTTAAATATATTTTTTAAAAAGGTGAAGAAAATAAATATACTTTTGTTTTGGAATATGCTGATAGCAATTCATTAAATTTTTATTTAAATAAATATATTGATATTCTTAATTGGAAGGAAAAATATAAATTAGCATTACAACTTACAAATACTATGTTATACTTGCATGAAAATAATATTATTTATTGTAATTTGGTAATATATTTATTTTTTTATATATTTTAATTTATTAATTTAATTAATCATATTTTTTTTTATAAAATTATAGAATGCAATGAATATATTTATACATCAAAAAAATATTAAATTATCAAATTTGGGTTTATCAAAAATAAATGATAGAAAATCAAATATGATAACACCCTATATAGATCCAAAATATTTAAATGATCAATATTATAAATTAAATAATAAATCTGATATTTATAGTATTGGAGTTTTGATGTGGCAAATTTCAAGTGAACGTCGACCAATTTATAATGAAGATGATGTTTTACAAGGAAGAAGAGAAGAGATTATTCATAGTACACCAATTAAATATAGTAATTTATATACAAGTAAATAATCTTATTATTATTTGACAAAGCATATTTTTATATATACTAATTTAATTATCTATTTGTTTAGAATGTTGGAAATATGAACCAAATGAACGTCCAAATATAAAGCAAATTGTTAAATATTTAGATAAATTAAATTCATCAGAAAGAGATATTGAAGTTGATAATTTTCAAAATGATAACCAAAAAGATAATGCAATTAAATGGATAAAAGATGCTTTAGATAATGAAAAGGTTAAATTTATACCTTTTGATCAATTGGAAAAACATAAACCCCTTAATACTGGAGGTTTTGGTTGTATTTTGAAAGCAAATTGGGTTAAAACAGGAAATTGTATTGTTTATAAAAAACTAACTAATATAGCATCCATTAAAGGCAGTATACTAGATGATTTTATACATGAATTAAAAATACATTTACAAGTTGATTATTGTGATCGGATTGTTCGTTGTTTGGGTATTAGTCAAGGTAATTTTATAATAAATCTATTATTATTAAATATGTTTCATTCAATAATAAAAGTTTATTTTTATAGACCATAATACAAACGAATACCTTCTTATAATGCAATATGCTAATGATGGCGATCTTCAAAATTATCTTGAAAAGAATTTCAAAAGTTTAACTTGGATTAATAAGAAAAAGTTAGCATTTCAAATCGCTGAAGGATTAAATTATTTACATAATGAAAATATCTACATAGGGATCTTGTAAGTTATTAGCTTTTACTTATTTGTTTTATTATTAAAATTGAATAAATTATTTATTTATTTTGAATATAGCATTCTAAGAATATACTTATTCATGATGGTAATGCTAAAATTACGGATTTTGGTATTTCAAAAAATATGAATACTGAAAATATTAGTAGACATATCAGATGCGGTAGAATTCCATATGTAGATCCAAAAATGTTTATAAATCTCGAGTTCCAGTATATTAGAGCTTCGGATATCTATAGTTTTGGTGTATTGATGTGGGAAATTTCTAGTGGAGATCCTCCGTTTAAGGATAAAATTAGTGAAACAGTACTTTCACTTGCTATTGTTCAAGGAACTCGTGAAGTCACTATAGAAAATACTCCTAAAGATTATGAAGAACTTTACCAACATTGCTGGGATTCAGAACCTGAAAAAAGACCGACTATTAAAATTATATTAGAAAAAATTAAAAAAATGATTATTGAAGAGCTTCATCAAAAATATTTAGATTCAAATCCTGAAGGAAAACCGACTATTATTGAAATATTAGAAATATCTAAAACAATGGGGCTACCTTTTGAAGATCTTTGTCAATATTTTGACCCATGTCCTGAGAAAGCGGAAATAAATGCCTTAACAGAAGGTATGTATTTTAATATGTAATGTTATTAATTTAATCTTAATACTAATTAAATTATATATATATATATACTGTATTCCTACAGAAAATAGTAATTTGATTCCAAAAATGCAAACTGATGAATTAGATATAGAAAGCATTCAATTAGATACATTTTCTGATTTAAGCAGTTAAGTTATTTAATTATACGTTTATTATAAAAAAATATACTAATTGATTTGAATTTATTTATTAATTGTTTAGTTCCGTAATATTCTATTATAAAGAAATACCAGAAGTCGTTTATAATTTTATATATTCATATATTATATATTATATAACAAAGATAATTTATTTAAATATTAAATAAATATTTGGTTTATAGATTTTCAAATAATGCTGTTATTAAATTTATTTTAAAATGAAGTGTAGTTTGAAAACAATTAAAACTGAATCTTTTTTTGATTAAAATGACAAGTAATCTTCGAGTTTGTAAACTCGAATGTAAATTAAGCTTAAAGAAAAAATTACAAAAAACATGCTTTATTATAATTGGTAGAAAAAAATAATATAGCTTGCTAAATAAAATAATGAACATAAAATTTCATATTCTTAATTATGAATTTATTCCCAAAAATTGCACTTCCTAACATAAACTTGCATGCTCCTCAATAGTTAGACAACTACTTTTAGAGCAAGGCATGTTTGCAAATATTGTATTGGCTGATGTTAAAAGACTTGTTAAGTTTTATCCATAATAATGTAAATATGATTTGCTTACAATTTTGCCCTTTATCTTAACAATATCTATATAAGTGAGAATTGAATTTTTGGAATGTTAAAAATTGTTTATTCATAATAAATCAATATTTTTTGCATAAAGAAGGTATTTAAATGCAAAAATAACGAATGTATTTGAAAGTACGACACTACAAAGCTACCGATCAGCAGATATCATATATGCGATTGATAGTGGTAACGATATGTTAATAAAGCTAAGAATCATGTTTTTGAGCTCCACACATAATTTAAATTTTTTAGATCTCAAAAAATTCCATGGCATTTATCTGTAATTTTGGCATGTATAGGTTACAAACCATTCCTAATTAATTATTAGTATCTCAAAATAAATTTATCATTTGGTAAAAAAAAATCTTTTGAAGCATTATTTCGTCGTGCGTTTTACTATTTGATGACGAAAACAAAAAAAAAAAAACTTTCTAAAGTTCATTCAAACTCAATGATGTGGTATTTTTTGTATAGAACGATAAAGTAATGAAATTTTTAATTATTTAAAATAGTTGCTTAACTAAGTTATCTGAATAAAGGTGTCACTGCATTCAAATTATAAATGAGTTTGGATTGTTGCATAAAATTTACATTATAATTATAAGTAAAAGCCATTAGTCTACTAGTAGGATTTTATAATGGTATAAATATAGCTGAGTATACTTAACCTCTTAGAAATTATGTATAATAAAAAATTTATGAAACTAACTTTTCCTTCAGTTACACATACAGCATATCTCGCATGTTATATATTTTCTAATTACATTATAAATTTCTTGCGAGAAATCTTGCTATGCCGCCGCAATTCGTATTTACCACATTTTGACTCCGAAGAAATTTTCAATGAAAAGTATCGGGTTAACGGAAAATTTCCTGAGTTCTCCGTAGGGTAGAGACCTGCATAAGTCCAAATTTTGAAGCCCAGCCCGGGTTAAATTTGTGTATTAAAATACCAGCCCGGCCCGGACCGGACTTAATTATAATTATTGGCGATGCGAAATTTAACAATTTAATCATTTTATTTTTATTTAACAAATTACAAAAAAAAACAATATGTATTTTTTTTTTTTTTTTACAATTATTTAACAATTATTATTATAATAAACAAACAAAATAACTAATGAAGAGCACTATGTAATACCAAAATGATACAACCTGTTACAGACAATATGAAATTGATTAGCAACAATAAAATATTTAAAATATTTTATTATACAATCAGTGCGGCTAAATTTTAATTACAGCTAATTTCAAAAGTTGCGGATGTCGTTGCCAATCAAATGATTAGAAATTTCTCGGCGCCAATCAAATTTATAAATCAGTTAGCACCAATAAAATATAAACATATTCTATTCTTTTACTCACGTTATTTAACTTTAACAATGAATAGTTCATTAAACTTCCGTTTAAATGCAAGTCCAATTTGTCTCATTTGTTTAATATGTGAAAATACTTATGGTAAAGATTGTTTATGTCATCAAAAGAATTTTTAAAATACATAAAGTCCTTATAGAAAAAGAAACATTCGTGGCGATTTTTGGCGCTAAATACTGTAATTTTGATTGGCGCCGAGAAATTTCTAACCATTTGATTGGCACCGACATCCGCAACTTTTGAAATTAGCTGTAAATAATGATTTTTGCAAAATTATAAAAAAATCCGGGCTGGTACCTTGAACCCGGACCCGGCCCGGAAAATTCTAAACTTATATCGGCCGGTGTTAGACCTGGAATCGTCTCAAACCAAGCTAACAAAACTAATAAACTTAATAACATAATTATCTCAAAGGCCTTTCCTAAGAGAAATTAACAATTAACAAACAAAACAATTTATTATGACGATTCACTTGTGTAGTAGGTTATGAAGACAAGAAGGTTGTTGAAAAGTGTAAAATAGTAACTTTATTAACTGTAGAGTTATAAGTCTAGTCCCAAGACTTATTCAGAAAACTATCTGATTGAACTCTGTCGACTCAAGGTTAACTTACAGGTCTATTTATATAAAATTGCGAACTATTACTATACTACGCTTTTTGATAAGTACATATAATGAAAATAATATAAGTAATAAAAATAAGACTATATAATATGTATTATAAAGTCGATCAAACGATACATCATCTATCTAAGGCGCAGTATGATTAGCGACTAACACCGGCCTCTACCGTAGGGCCTAGTAGGGTCGGGTTTAGGATAAACTTGAACTCGACCTTATTGTACAATCAAGAAAAAAAATATTCGGTTGAATTAGATTATAGGATTTATTCGAATTTTTAGCGTAAGCACATATTTATTTGTTTTAAGAACAAAACTAGATATTAGTAATATGTAATTATAATTAAATATGATAAATGCAAAAGGGAAAAATAGCAAGTTAAAATGACAGAGATTTAACTAAATTATTTATATAAAACTTTCATTTGACAGTTAAAATGAATGACGTAAAGTCATGAGAAAATGAATAAATGTTTTATAGAGTGATATTTTTAATAGTTCAAATAAAATTAATAAAATATTTTATCAAACCAGAGAAGTTTAGGAACAAAAAGCTCAAGTCTCTTAGTAATTATCTAGAAATCGGAGAGGTGAATAACTATGAACGGTTCCATCAACTCGTAATCTCGAAGTATTACATTTATCATATCAAACAATTTATAGGCGGCATTTGATTAATTTTATGTTTGATTCTTTGCAAAAAAAGTATCTAGGGGAATCACGTTATTATTTTATCAAACGAGGAATATTATTACTAACTTATAGGAATTCTCTTCGATCTCCTTTCGAAAAGTTTTAAAGATTAATAATTTTACCGAAAGAACGTTACTTGTGAACGGGCTCCAGCAAGTAAAAGGCATTATTATCTGCATCATTATGTGAATACAAAGTTTGTAAATGC